TATTTAGTAAGGCATTTAATACGGACAAATCGTTTGCTGCACACCTTTTTAGATTTTTGGCTTTTGCCCGCTTTTGCCCGCCTTTCCTTACTAGTAAGCATGCACGTGCAACGCACGTCTCAAACGTAAAACAGGTGAATTCACATAATATAAAAAAATAAACATTTTTAAAAATATAAATTAAATGGATACACAATGTTTGATGTCGCTCAAATTGTATTTTCAAAAGCGAGACACAATAGTGGTTATGTTGCTGCATAGAGTAATAGCAGGAAAATATTCTCATTTAAATAAAATCAGCAATTATTTATTAATGCAGTAATATATGCATGTAGTATAATCTTCTCTTCAAGTGTAGCCAGGAAAAAAAAGTATAAACTGCCTTACGGTGCAATTATATTGTTCAAGATGCTTAATTCTTGAATCTTATTTTATTCTACTAATCTGCATAGCAAAATATATATTTGTACTAATTTGGATCAAATTATATATATTTTTTGGTTGTGTGGACTGCCAAAATTATATAGCTACATACTATGGATAATAGGAAATAGAAGATGATATGTGACTACAACGACTTCTATATGAAATAAAGATGATTTACAAGAACTAATTGAAATGTAAAAGGGCTAGAAGAAATCCAATAATTATCATGATAGAAAATATTTATCCAGTTTTGTATGTGTTTATGTGTTGGCAACCATACTAACTTACAATGATGTAAGATGCTTTGTACGTATAGAAACTGAAATGAGTTATGAAGAAAAATAAAGATGGAAGGAAAAGTATTCTAGAGTATTTGTCAAGCTTAACCTTATCAAGCTTTTAGGTCAGCTTCTAAATTACAAAAAAATGATGAATCCTCAAATAAGAAAGAGCCAACAATTTGGAACATGCTACAAAACTAGTGAAGATAGAAAGCATTCATCCTCTTTTTTCTTGTCGTAAGGAGTAGCTTCCGCATACATTTGTAACAGTGTAATACCTGATCCGAAAAAAGTTGTTCATTATTATTATTGGAGGAAAGAGGCGCACAGACAAAGAAAGAGAGGCGGTGCAAATAAGGCGTTAAACATCATGTCTTCAAGTTTGATGACTGCAGATATGTTGGATCATTCGAAACTGCACAAATATATAAGAATAAATATATATGCCAAAATAGCGAAAGGTATTTGGTTTCTCTGTCATGAAACAAAAAATCTGACTGAGTACAGTTTATATGATTTCTCTGTACCAATATACGACAGCTGTATTAGGACAGATCCTTTGAAGGATCTATTTATTGGAACTCAGCCGGATTAGTTTCTTCATTGGATCCTTCTGTATGGTAAAATTCTCTTTATTGGAACGCAGTAGAGATTGCATACCTTTACAGAACAGCAAGAGATATTCTCTAACAATAGTTACGGAGTCATGTGACCCGTTTTAGATGTATAGAATCATGTAACTGAAATAGTAGTACATCTTCAATATCTTGCCTCCTACTGAATCTTACATAATTTACTGGATTGCTGTGCAATTATGTTAAAGTGACGCGTGTAAAGTTTTCTCTAAGAATGAATCATATATTCTGATTTCCAACCTATCCCTAGAGATAGTGCCTAGCCAAGTGCAACCCACCTTAATTCCAGGTAAAGCAACGTCATACGTAAAACACACACTGATCAAATAGCACAAATAAGGCAATTCTAATCAAGGGGATGGTGTTACCTCTTGATACGGTCCAGTTTAATGCATATGGTGGTACGAAGTAAAGCCCAAGGAAGCCGACATGAACATGAGAAGTAATCATGGGAAATAGACTCTGCATCTTGACTTCTTCAGTATCCCTCTTGATCCTACTTTGTAAGAAAAGATTGCTGCATTCTTATGTACGTGCCATATATAATTACACATTTTCAGTACAGCAATCGGCAACCTAAGATAATCCCAAATCTATAATTCTAGATTGCTTGAAGGCCCACGATTCTTATTTAATATGTAATGCACGTGCACCCACTGAACAGACACTTTGTCGGCATGGGTGCTGCGAACGGAGCTGAAGTCAACGCGGATGTCGATGGTTGCCGAGAGCATGCCCTGGACGTGGATGGAGTCATCGCAGTAGCGGCAGAAGAGCGCCTGGCCTCCAAACAGAAGACGATGGTGGCGATAGCACGTGTGTTCCCGGAGAAAGACGAAGCTCCTCGCGCTTCCCCCATCGTGGCTAGCATGCATGATGGCGGCAGGCGGCTCGCGATTAGCTTCCTAATAGGATGGATGCGTCCGAGATAAGTTTTTTAATAGGATGAATTTGTCTGAGATTAGTTTCCTTATAGGATGGATACACTCTGATTTAGTTTCCTAGAATAGGACGCACCCGTGATTATTAGTTTCCTAATTGCGCAGGCGTGGAGTTTCATATTTTCCTCCACGGTGGAGTACGGTCAGTCAATGTAAATTGCTAAGTGCATACAGAAAATGATTTAGGTTAAGGCTAACCGATAGATTGATTTTAGTGGGCCTAATCGTGCAGTGGTATTAGATCTGTGTACGCTTTGTGGGGTGTGCTTAAAAAAGTTCTTGTTTGATTGTTTAATAGTAGTATAGATGTTCCCGAAGAAAGACGAAGCTCCTCGCGCTTCCCCCATCGTGGCTAGCGTGCATGATGGCAGCAGGCGGCTCACGATTAGCTTCCTAATAGGATGGATGCATCCGAGATAAGTTTTTTAATAGGATGGATTTGTCTGAGATTAGTTTCATAATAGGATGGATGCACTCTGATTTAGTTTCCTAGAATAGGATGCACCCGTGATAATTAGTTTCCTAATTGCTCAAGCATGGAGTTTCATATTTTCCTCCACGGTGGAGTACGGTCAGTCAATGTAAATTGCTAAGTGCACACAGAAAATAGTTTAGGTTAAGGCTAACCGTTAGATTGATTTTAGTGGGCCTAATCGTGCGGTGGTATTGGATCTGTGTACGCTTTGTGGGGTGTGCTTAAAGAAGTTCTTGTTTGATTGTTTAATAGTAGTATAGATACGTGCCATATATAATTACACATTTTCTGTACAGCAATCGGCAACCTAAGATAATCCCAAATCTATAATTCTAGATTGCTTGAAGCCCCACGATTCTTATTTAATATGTAATGCACGTGCATCCACTGAACAGACACTTTGTCGGCATGGGTGCTGCGAATGGAGCTGAAGTCAACGCGGATGCCGATGGTTGCCGGAGAGCATGCGCTGGACGTGGATGGAGTCGTCGCAGTAGCGGGAGAAGAGCGCCTGGCCTCCAAAGAGAAGACGATGGCGGCGATAACACGTGTGTTTCTGGAGAAAGACGAAGCTCCTCGCGCTTCCCCCATCGTGGCTAGCGTGCATGATGGCGGCAGGCAAGGTTGTCAGAATCGCAATTCTGTTATACGATTCTACGACTTTACGATCCAAACTAACCCCTATGATTCTACGATTTTAGTTCTTAGAATCTACGTTTCTACGATCCTGATAGTGGAGATTCTACGATTTGCGATCCTACCATCAAAGCTCTGATCCGATTCAAAATCGCGATTCTGGCAGGCGGCTCGTGATTAGCTTCCTAATAGGATGGATGCGTTCGAGATAACTTTTTTAATAGGATGGATTTGTCTGAGATTAGTTTCCTAATAGGATGGATCCACTCTGATTTAGTTTCCTAGAATAGGATGCACCCGTAATTATTAGTTTCCTAATAGCTCAGACGTGGAGTTTCATGTTTTTCTCCACGATGAAGTACGGTCAGTCAATGTAAATTGCTAAATGCACACAGAAAATGATTTAGGTTAAGGCTAACCGTTAGATTGATTTTAGTGGGCCTAATCATGCGGTGGTATTGGATCTGTGTACGCTTTTGTGAGGTGTGCTTAAAGAAGTTCTTGTTTGATTGTTTAATAGTAGTATAGATATAGATTATGTTTTCATGGTTTTTTTTAGCACAACTCTGCTTCTTAGGAAAAAGGAAAAAATCACAACTTTTGCTTCCACGAGATGCACGGCCCGTGTTTCTGCCCGAAGCACAACTTGAAAAAGGGAAAAGCACACTGTGCTTCCCCGAAAAAGGGAAAAACACATCCTGTGCTTATGGGCTGCATTTTTCTTTTGATATTCTTTTTTTATTGCCTTACTTTCATTTTTTCATCTTTTTTCCAATTTCTGAACTTTTTGTGAAAAAAGTTCATCAAAACCTTTTAACGTGGGATCTAATTTTGAAGATCATGATGCATCCAATGATGAAAACGGTTTTGTATTTGTACGCATGGTTCAAAAGATAAACCATTTTATACAAACGAATCTATAGAAGAAGAAAAAACTCATGCGGTGCGCCACTTGTCTTTTTTTGTTGGTGCTCCATTTGTCAGCACCAGGCAAGATGAGGAGTGGCATTTGCAAGGGATAACCCTTAACCAGTGATTTCGTTGAAATTCAGAACATTTTTTCCTGAGCAGTGAAATTCGGACAAGTGAATTGCCTTTCTCCAAGCAAACTTTTCTTTTTCAGTTTGTCTAATTCACATCTAGATGTTTTTAAGGATGTCACATCTAAGCTCTCACAAATATATAATACAACAACAAGAAAAAAAATAGGACAAAAATAAATAAACCATAAACAGAATGGACATCAACTTAGATATGACACGTTCCCTACTTTTTTTTTGAGACAAAGATATGTCCCCTACTACACCCATTGGTTCAGCGGCCCGACCCAAAAAACTAAAGGCCACTTGCGCATTCTGGGCCGTCCCCGGTTTCAGGTTGGGGCCACGGGAGGCGGCAGAGTCACCGAAGACCCATCGGGACTAGTGGGTCGACCCAGCTAGCTTCACGACCCGCCGCCGCCGCCGCCGCCGCAGGCGGCCACCGCGCCATACACGCTCTCCGCTGTCAACACCCAACGCCCGGCCTCCTCTTCCGCCTCCTTCGGCGCAGACGCTGGGTTTAGGCTTGGTTGTGGGTAGCAGAGCAGAGCGCGACAGCGGCGGCGATGGCAACGGCGAAGAAGGGGACGGCGACGCCGCTGGCCTCCGCGTTCTCGCCGGAGGAGACGAGGAGAGCCGTGTCCCGCGTGGCCCAGGCCATCGCCGACCGCCGCGCCGACCTCGCGCGCGTCCAGGGCTTCTTCGCCGACAACGCCGCCCTCGTCAACCTCGTCCAGCGCCTCCCCGACGAGCTCTCCCACCAAATCATGGTCTCTCACTCATCCCTACCTCCTCTCGTCATCCTATTTAGCAGCATAGCTACTTCCCACGAGCCAATTTAGTGATCCCCTGGTCTGGTTTCGCAGGTCCCCTTTGGTGGCGCCGCCTTTTTCCCTGGGAGCTTGATCCACACCAATGAGCTCCTGGTATGGCATTCCACAGATTCTTTGGCCTTGGAGCTTCTACCTGCCTGCTTGGTTTGCTGCCTGCGACTGTAACATGTGTGCTGACAATTTTGTTTGGGTTGTGCCTTAGGTGCTTCTGGGGGATGGGTACTACGCTGATAGGTCTGCGAAGCAGACGACCGAGATACTGCACAGGAGGGGGATGGAGTTGGAGGCTCAAATGGAGGCCATCAAGGCAACCATCTCCGACCTCGAGGCTGAGGCCAAGTTCTTCGAGTCCACCGCTGCGGAGGCTTCGGTAAGGCTCTTGGCTCTTGTGAAATCTTCAGAAATAGTGTATTCCTATGCTAGTGTTCAGCTAAGAGGTTACTGTAGTAGCAATTTGGTTGAGGTCACTGGTAAGGGGAAAGGGAAATTGATACTGAATTACAGTAGATTGATGCTGACATGGGGACTCTGCACTTGTGATACTTATATAGCATGCAGACTAAGCTATAACATCTTAGCCTTGTTGCATTGAAAGCTGGGTGCTTCTTGTTTCTAACATGTTGTTAATCTACGCCGTGGAAACTAGTGTAGATCCATCTATATAAAATGGGTGTGGTCTTACTATACATACTACATTGAGGTGCAGCAATATAACCTTTTTGGCTCCGAACTGAATTACTCAATATGATTGATCTTTCATTGTATTATACTCTATTGTCTTAACAAATTCGATAACTATTCTCATGTTGGTCTTCAGCCTATAGTTTAATTGTGGGTTTTGCTTCTGTGCAAAATTATTTCTAACTGGATCCTTAATTATATTGATGCCTGCAGGAGGGTCTTGTTGAAATAAGGGAAGAATATGATGAAGAAGACACAGAAATAATTTCATCAAAAACAGGTAATCATTTGGAGCTTTTGTTTATTTAGCTACTGATATTCTGCATCCTTCTTATCTTCAGTATGTATTGGCTCTTTTTGTCATCTTAGTATGCTGAACTGTAATGATGATGTTGTACTGACATGCATATCCCACTTGTGAGTCCTTGGGGTTCAGATTCAAATTTACCCTATCCAAATTGACTTTTATTGACATCTTATACTTCTTGATTATTCCTGAATTGACAAGGTCTAGAGTAATCCTGCAGAAAGTTGGCCTATTGGTATCTCATTCTACAATTGAATGTTGTTTGGCTGAGAGCATTATATTTTTTTTGTAGTATATTTATTTTTGCAGACATTATGTCAAGACTATCTTGTTGTGCTGAGATGATTGCTGCCTTCAAATGAAGCAGTGGCAAACCTTTAGCACTTACATTTGTTGCCAAGTAACAACTTCTGCTTCAGCGTGACTTTCTACGTATCTTTCCCAGAGGCTTCAAGTTCTTCTGGGGGCATATCAGATGAGGAACATGCTCGGATGATGGCTAGGTTTGATGAGCTTGAAATGTTAGAAAAGGAAGCTGGAAGTACTTCCGAAGATGAAGGTGATGATGACGACGACGATGGTGACGATGAAGATGCTGGAACAAGTGAGGATGGTGAGGAAAATGGGGAAACATTAAGTTATGGCAATGAGCATGACAATGTTAGTTTTGGTGCCTCAGTTTCTGGAAGTGGTGGTAATGGCCAGAGTCAAGGAAATGCCCAGGTATCTTTGTGCTTGTCTAGCTGGCGTGGCATAATTTGGTGTAATATTAATTTGACCAATGTGTTTATATGTTGGTGTTCGAACTAATAGCTGAAGAGTGCACTAAAGAAGCTAGGAGAGAAGGAAACACTACAAGGTTCTTCTCTTGCGCCATCAGGCAGTACCTCCGTAAGCTCATTATTCCTTTTTCAACACCTTCTACTTTGTGCCTGAATGAATGGCTAGCAGTCAAAATTGGTTATCTTAGCTTCTGTAACAGTAACAGTGTGTTTCATCTAATGTGCAGATAACAAACTCTGAAGTTCAGGCTTCGCTTAGAAAAGGTTAGTCGTGATACTGGCATGTGGGACACCATATTCAGGATGTGTACATGATATTTTGATTACCTAGTGACACACCTAATTGTTTTGCTGATTTTTATTGTCATCTTGTTTGTGTAAGAGTTGGTACTCCTTTTTGCACCAACGTGTTTGCTTGAAGTTCTTAAAATTACCCTGCTTATATGCCTTTGACCTAAATTTCCTACTTGCAGCTGTTTCTTTTAAAGATGAGAACGGGCAAATAGTTAGTTCATCAAGGTACTCTTCAGGACCCAAGGTATGTATTCGAAGGGATTTTTGTTGGAAATAATGTGCCCTCCACCCCCTCGACTTCTCTCACATTATCTGAAATTTTACTGGGCCATGGCCCATTTATTCCAACATTACTTTCATCATTCCTTGCCTATGTAATTTTTTTTTCATATTTTTTGGTCGCTGTTCTTCTATAGAAACATAATGAGGCAACATGGATGTGAGTACTAGCTGTCCTCAGTTCTCACAACATTTGTCAGTCTTTTTGGTCACTGATGTCCAAAATACTTCTGATATTATGAATCCAGTCTGCATATGTCATATGTAGACATGATTGTCTGGCTGTGCTTTAGATCTTCGCACCCGGTTAACTTCTTAGTCTATTTTTTAACATAAACTTTGTGCTAACCTGGCCTTGTGTTTGCCCTTTTACCTTAGGCTAGTAGAGGTGTAGAACTATTGCACTCTCCTTTCGCGAGTATATTATATTTTGGATACTGACACGGTCTCAAACATGCAACTTTGACTATTCCTTGTATACATATTTGAGCACATGATAATTAGGAGATATTCTTATAAAATATTTAATGATGTCGTTTTTGCAACAACTCACCATCTAAATAGTTCTTCTATATGTATTAGTAGTTAAAGTTACTGTGTGCTTTCTAGAAGTTCATAATTTTGTGAAGCGAGGTAGTCGTTCTCTGTGAAGTAAAATCAGGCACCATTCTGAAGACCTAGGGATGCAGTTTATCTAATGTTTCATTTGTAGTGTTCTATTGTTTTTATGTATTTACTATTAATAGTGCTGACTATAGTTACTTGCCTGGCAGGTTTCTTCATCTCGCGATCGGCAGATACTACCAGGTGGACAAAAGGTCATTTGCTCGTACTCTGATGTATAGTGACATACACCTTTTTGAATTGCATTTCACCCTGTTTATGCCCTTCACCAGGCTTTCACGGGATCTATTGTTGAACACGATGAAGGTCTCTCAGTGATCGAACAACCAAGGAGTAATGATAGTGAGAAAGTAAGCTCCATCCTTTGAGTCTTTCCATTGGCATTGTGTGGTGTGCATTTATGTTTTATCTGATCCCTGTAAACTCCTTGCCTGAACATATCTGGCAGCCTGCTAGTTCCGCTTCTTCTTCAAGGCCCATGTCTAGATTCAAGATGCAGAAGGGAGGACGCTGAGTATGCCTCTTGGACACTAGAATTAACACAAGATCATCTACTTCGAGTCGCTGGCAAGACCTGCATTGACAAGTACCATGAGAGACGGCATGCTGCATCAGAATGATGCGCCGCATTTTGGACAGGGGTCCTTTTGAGTTTGTCAGTGCGTCGGGAAGGACAGAAGTGTTGGCATTCTGAATGTATGGCACTATCACCTCAACTTTTATCCTGGGTCTTTTGCCGTTGCCTGTACGGTGGAATGGTTTGATGCGTGTCTACAATTTGTACGCGCGATATGCTTAGAAATGCAAAGAAAATTGCTTAGAAGGAATTGAAACAGAGGCTGATAGAGAGATGAACGATTTGTGGTCAATTGATTGGTTAAATCTGGGAGTAATTAAGCATACGTTAATACTAGGTAGGAAATGAATCAAACGACTCGTTTGATTCATTATAATCAGAGAGCCAGGAGGGGTTTTTTTCAACAGCCAACTAATGTTTCCTACACATCATGGCCATGGCATGGTCAAAGTGGTGGCCCAGGCACCTCTTCGCTTGGCGCCTGTGAACCCCACCAGGATGCGACCCCTGACATATCTTCACACCTGCAGGAAGGGAGGAGAAGACCAATTCGAACAACAGACGTACTCCTTCCGTTCCTAAATACGTATAAGATGGATGTTTTGAACTACCAAAATATTTAGGAATATAGGGAGTATTATATTATCGGTTTTGCTAAAGCACATCTAGATGTGCAATAAGTATTGCACATCTAAGTCCTATGTCATTAATCTTATGTTGAGATTCGTGTGGATATTTTCTTTTCTTTTTTCCCCCTCTTTATGTTTGATTCACTCACTTAGATGTGCAATAACTAGAGCACATCTAGATGTGCCCTAGACACACCCTTATATTATATGTACCAATGCAGGTCGATGTTGGGTGCTACACATGCTTTCACAATTCAAGCATATTCGATGATGGTCCGTGTCTAGGTTTTAGTCGACTGAGGCTTAATCAAGTCTCAGTCAAGTGATAATAATATAAGAAGAAAAAAACTTGAAAAAAAATTATGTATGAATCTCCATGCAAGATAAAAGATCATGTATGAATCTCCATGCAAGATCAAAGAAATATAGCGTCGACTGAGACATAACAAAGTTGACTTAGCAAAACTGTTTGATGATTGGTTGCAACTCGTCTCTTTTCAGAAGTCTTGAGTACTATGTCAAGCCAAAGTGTATGCCTGGGAGTCGGGTTGTTAGGGTTCCGGTAGCCGCCACGGATGCAGGAGGTTAGGCCGGCGTGCATGGAATCAACTGAGGCGAAAAAATAATTCAGGCCACAGACACATAGCTGTCAGGGTTTCTCTTGAACAGAGCAAAAATCCCCTTTCTTCCCTATGCCTATGGGCAATGGATTGCTTGTAGAAACTTTTCCAAGAACCTAACAATTCTCGATGCCTATATAGATGCCTCTAGGTCGTTTGACATTTTCTTCAAGTCTCGAATAGTTCAATTTCAATGTACCTTTGCACCTACTCCCTCCGTCCCATAATACAAAAGTTTAGTTTGTACAACGGTCTTATATTATGGGATGAAGAACATACTTTTCTATTTCTATTTGTACAAAAGTGCATCTTGCTGCACAATGGATGAGGCCACGGCGGCGGTGTTGGCTGGGATTGGATCAGGGTCAAGGGCACTGCCGATCGAGTGGCGGGAATTCGGACAACCGTGGAATGGGAGTCTTCCCCGGTGGTAGTGGATACAGCGACGGTCTCTGTTTCTGCCATCTAGCCACCTTCCGGTGGATGCGGCTCGAATCGTACCCCTTCTGGCCGTCGATGACGAACTCCTCGAGAACCATGGCGTTCTTGGCCAGGAACTTGACGAGACGTACCTGGAGGCAGGTCAGCTTCTCCGTGTCGAACTTTATCACCACCCTCCTTAACGAATTCTGGAGGCAGGGCAACCTGCATCTGCGGCAAAGTCCTTGAAGGTCCGAATCATCACAACAATCTTCGTCCCCATCGTCCAAGTCCGACATGGCGGCAATCTGATCCGGTTCTGAGATTTCTTCGAGGTACTCCAGCCATCTGAACTTCAGCCGGACCTCGCGCACCGCGGGGCAGCACGACAGCAGGCTCACGACGGCCCTCGCCACGGCGCCGTGGTTCTGGACACACCACCCGCAGAGCTCTTCAACCTCGAGCAGATCGAGGTTGGGAAAATAAAACGACATAGTATCGGCGAGGTCGCCCATGGAGTAGGCGGTGAGCTTGAGAACCCTCACGTGACGCATGGAGTCGACATTGAGCATGCAACGATTTCTCACTATTGCCGCCGGGGAGTGCAACGCCAGGTGGACCTCCTCCAGGTGCGTCATGGGCGACTCGAAGTAGAAGGAGGTGCCTTGGAAGGTGACGACGCTGCAGCCTAAGCGGCGGAGGCGGGGCGCGTCGACCTCGATGCTGCACACGCCGGCAAAGTAGAGGTTCTCGAGGCCGCAGTTGGCCATGAGGAGGACGGTGGCCGCCGGGCATCGGACGCGGTAGCTGTAATTGGGCAGGGTGTCCACGAATCTCACGGACTCAAGGTGGATGTCGGCGAGCTTGGGCGCGGCGGAGATTATGTCCTGGAGCGTGGCAAGCTTCGTGCGGCACCGCCGGAGCCGCATGGCCTCCAGGCACGGGAACGCTAGGGGCCGCCGTCGGTCCGAGAAGGGCTCGAGGGCGTAGCCGGTGAGCTCGAGGACTCGGAGAGCGGCGAAGGGTACTGAGCGCAGGGAGTACGGGAGCGTGCAGCGCCCGTAGTCTAGCCACTCGAGCCGGAACTCCTCGGCGTCGGCGACGTACTCCTCCGGCACGACGACGCCGCCAGCGCTCTTCTCCTCCGCGGTGCCGACGGGGTCCGCCTCGTCCTCGATGCCGGAGGAGTCCTCCTCGTCATCGATGCTGGAGGAGTCTTCCTCCTCGTCTTCTTCCGGGCTGCTGGCGGCGTGCAAGGTGCCGTAGTCGCGCGTGCGCATGCTGTCGTCGCGCATGACGAGGGTAAACTTGTTGGGGCCGCGGCCGCTGGAGCGGATCAAGCCAAGGCGCGCGTTTGTGATGTCATCCAGCACGCGAGTCCAGAGAGGGTCGCTGCCGCCGCCGCCGCCGCCGGTGGTATAGGAACGGTAGTCGACGTTGACGGCGCCGGTGTCGAGCCAGAGCGGGCGGCGCCATCGCCGGGAGAGCGCGGTGGTGCTGGCGGCCTCACGTACCGGGGCGAAGGAGAGTATGTGGATGAGCAGGTCGTCGGGGAGCTCGGAGAACCTGTCCCGCGCGGCGGCGGTCGCCATGCATCCGGATCGAGAGTTCTGTTAGGGCTCTGTACCTTTGCGTGACATCGTTATACGTTCTTTTTAGGGCTTGACATCCTTATGTGGACGTACTAGTGTACCACCAGAGAAGGCCCAAAGTAGAAGGGCATTGGCGCTTGGGCCGTCCAATGCATTAAGCCATCGCAACATTGTCTTGTGCACGTCGTTATGCAACTGTGTCTCAAAAAAAAGGTCGTTATGCAATATCATTGATGTTGCGATCACAGTCACAGCGCAACGCCATTGCAGTGTCGCCTATATTGAGCTCGTCGTTATGCAACATCATCAATGTTGTAGTCGTCGTGGCGTAGCATCATAGTCGTTGAAGGCACATCGCCGTTGTTGCAGTCGCCATGACACGACGTTTGCAACATCGTTTGTATTGCACTCGCCATTATGCAACATCGTATGTGACGCAGCAGCGCTCGTAGCACACAACCTAGTGTTCAGCATCGTAAGCCACTAGCGACGATTGCCGTCAGCATAGTCGGGTTCGTAGGAGAGGCACACCATGCCCATTGCAAAAGAAAGGAAGAAGCACCACGGTGTGTCCCCTCCCAGACCAGGTCTTTGCAGCAGCTTGTGTGGGCATGGTGCTACCAAGGAGAGAGGGCACGGTGAACTTATGTGGTGGCGACGAGAAATTTTGGGGAGACGGCGGAGTGGGATTTTGATGGAGGCGACGAAGTGGAGCGTGGAAAGATAAGATTGCAGGAGAGGTAGAGAGTGGTGGGTAGGGCATGGGGGTATGTGTCGCTCGAGGAAGGCGAACTGGCGTATGGCTGCAATAAGTTGGTTGATTGTAATATTTCCCCACAATATAAACAGAAGTGCTTAATAATTTAAGTATATGTCTAAAAAATACTATATGCATAGAAAAGAAATACTAAGTATACAACTGTGCAGGGAGTGTGTCTTCGCTAGGGTTTCTTGCGAGAAATGCTACACTTACGAATAGATTCTTACTGATTGAAGTTACGGACTGAGCTGTGAAACCTTGATTGAAAATAATGAGGAGGTGGGACCCGCACTGGAAATCAAGGGGAGAAAGAGATTGGTGGAGAGTAGTCCTTACGTGGTTTCCATGTCATCTTGCCCGTAAGTGTAGAATTATTGGTTTCTTGCCCTTGGCGATCTGGAGGCGGCAACCTTGCCACCGCCACCGCTGAACGCCGCGCCGGCCGTGTGTGGCCTCTCCCCCGTGTCCAAACCCAGATTGGACGTCGGAACAGCGGCGGCCGTGTCCGTAGATTGATCGCTCGGCCCCTTGTGGCCCTGTGATCCAGCCGTCTTCGAATTGGAGTTTGGGTACCCATCGTGGGTCTTGCCGTTGCCTGTATGGTGGAATGGTTTGATGCGTGTCTACAATTTGTCCGCGCGATACGCTTAAAGATGCAAAAAGAAATGCTTAGAAGGAATTGAATGATTTAGGAAATGAATCAAACGGATCGTTTGATTCATTGTAATCAGAGAGCCAGGAGGGGTTTGGTTGACCGGCTGACTAATTTTTCTACCAGTTTTACTAAAGCACATTTAGATGTGCACTAAGTCCATATCATTGATTTTATGTTAAGATTCGTGTGAATATTTTTTTTCATTTTCTTCTTTTTATGCTTGATTCATTTACTTAAATGTGCAATAACTAAAGCACATTT